TAAATCGACAATTATAATTACGAACAATGCTGTAACATAAAGAGATGCACCGACGGTAAAACAGAACGAGAACATGCGTATGCCTGAATTGCCGGCTGAGTCTGCCACGCACTACCGCCTGGCGGGCTCGATTACAAATTCGAACTTGCCCACGTGATGTCTACAGTCTGCCCCAGTCCCAACCAGGCCAAAATTGGCATGGCGGGAATCCGTGTCGCGAGAGTATGCGCGCGTCTACCGCTAGCTAGTCTGCTCTCTCCTCAGTCTCTTTGCTCTCTGCAACAGCGCGCGTATGCAGCGCAAACGCCTGGCGCTGCGATCTCGCGAATTCAGCCGCCGGCTTGGCCTGATCCCGATTGGGTCAGACTATACTAGGATCAGAAAACAGGGAGGTCCGGGAATTGATAACTTTAAATCTTACAACAAAAATAGGAAGTGAGTGCAAATCGTGAGGTAGTACGCGTGGTGGCAATCATATCAAGTAAAATGATTAGATATAAGAAAACGATATAATGCCAATCCACTCGGATCTGTCTGCAGTGTTGCTTCCGTGCTCGTATTACGAATGACAGCATCGCGAGAATATTTTCATCATGAAGTCGTACTGTATGAGTGTACATAGATGATGTTGATAGCGGCACTAGCTGTATATGGTAAACAAAATTGTTTGTGTGGACGCGTTTCTTGGAAGACGGTCAAGTGGCGCGATTTTCCGAGAGATCGCCAGTTTAACAGTCGAATTTAGAGCTGTGCGAGTCTTTTAATGTTACCAGAAAAAGCGCTCTAGCTTTTTAAACATCTGAAGCTACCACTTGCTAAGTTTGACTGATTTTGATGAGCTTCTGATTGAAGTATGCACGAAAATGCCATTAATTGCATTTTCACGAGTTTTTGAAATCCTACAGATATGTTTTTGATTTAATACATAATGATAAGATCGAGCAAACCATGGGACGACCATACATATCATGTTAGAAATTTAAATTGCTCCTAGAACATCGTAAAATGCTGAAAATGCGCTAATTATTGTCCATCTATAATAACAATGAAAATCGCACCTCTTGACATACACCCCTAGTGCCCTATGGTGAATAAATTTTGAAGTTATATCTTAAAAATTTCCAGTCCTTCCCTTATTTTTGGAGAAGAGTCTCCATATAACTTTCTGTCGAGGTAAGTATACAGCTCTGCTGAGAGATAGTTAGCAAGACGTCAAGAGGATTTTTTTTATCAAAGAGGATTTTGTAGTTTGTGATCGATGTGTCACTTTGCCCACTTGAGTTAAGTTTTGCATTAACCTAAGGTCTTCAGTCGCGTTCTGTGGACTGTTTTTGTAAGAGCGCAACTCGATGCTTCCTGTAGACATAGTGCTCACATAGGCATCATTTGATAGAGAAGTTTCTCGAATTTCTCAATAGCTGGGCAAAGAGCAAAAAGTGCTTTGATGTAAGTGCGATAGCTTGCAAACTTTGGAAAAATCTATATTTACCTTGAATCTCTACCGTAGCCCTACAACAAGAAGGTAACTTGCAGCTCAGCTGTGATTTTCATAACCAACAAGTCGGATAATTTTTAGAAAATTTTCCAAGTCGGGCCGTTTAATTTTTTCCGGGTTACCGCTCTTGAGCTTACCACAGCTCCTGGCTAAAGTACTGACGATCTTAACTTAATTAGAAATCTAGCTCACAGAGGTTTTTATACTCATTGTTTATGAAAATCCTATTTGCCTTAAGGGGTCTTACAGTAAAACTATAGTGTGAGGTATATGCAGCTGAACTATGCAAGGTTGCACACTTGCCTGCACTTTTTGCCCACATGTTAACACATTGACGACGATGTGGACCACCGGTGGGCCATACCTCTTGCAATGTCGTATTATTTGTAGGCCTAGTATTTTTTCCACATTTGTTTCCAATTTTTTGCTTTCTTGGGACCTGTACGCCCCGTTCAAGAAAATGTTCATAGTTGTTTACAAAACAATTTTGCATTTCGTAAGTAACCACAAAACTTTCCCACACCGAAATCGTTGTGCAAAATCGCGTCGCCCCACAGCGCCGCCACGCAAAATTAGGCGTCGTCGTCAATGGGAAGTTGCCTGCATACTTTCAAAGGCTAAACTCTAAACAGCGCTCGAACTGTACAAAAACCAAACCATTCTATCTGCTTGCTAGTTATGTGCTTACAATCACATAGCTCACATTCTCATACATTGTCTGAAATTAAACCTTCATTTTAACAGAATTCCATCACGAGCACAGAATGACGTCGTGATAAAAAGAACTGTTATTTATAGAACGAACACAGGAGAACAAAGCTACAAACAAATTCGAGTAAATTTACATTACATCGTTTTCTTGCCGTACCCATGCTGATACGCATCGTCTAGATATTCGTAAGTTGATATGATTGCATACCAAGCGCGTTACTCCACGATTTGTAATCATTTGTTTTTATTATTAGCATATTGTGATCAAAAGCTACTGATTTCCTGGAACATGTCTATTTCTCTACTTTCTTTTGGTTTGGCTAGATATGTAATAGAGGGTGCTACACATTTTTACAGTTTATTTTTAGTAAAGGCTGCTGGCGAGTTGATAGAGTCGTTGCTTGCCGCGCAGTGTGCAGGTCCACATACTGAGCCAAATAACTTGCGCGTAATTATCACAATCAGCGCATCTTCGTAACTTCTTACCGTAACCCTACAGTACCTATACGAAGCGCCGCCAGCTGCAAATTAATGTAATTATTAGGATGGAAATAAGTTTTGCAACTTCCTTCATAACCTTTCTCTCATTGACTGTGGCGCATTCAAAATTTGGCAGTATATGAATCTCAATGTGTACTACAAATATGCACATACTGTTCGGCTTTTGAACGAAATTCAAAAGAATTGCAGGTATTTTTCGAAAAGTAGCAAATTTCGAGGACTTATGGGGTTATGAGCAAAATGAAGATTCCGAAATTGTATGGGAATTATTGCTAGAGGTTGACTCATTTAACAACGTAGAAAAGGAACAAAGCCGAAAGACAAGTCGAGTTCTGCCGTCTTCAAGAAGTTATGCGTGACGATGACGCAAGGCTGATGGGGACCACCATCAATGGCCAAGGAGTCGGAACCTCAAAATCCGCTCAGACTCTGCATATTGGGTTATTCGTCTTGCCAAATACCACTGTCATAATAAATCGTTTAAATTAACGCTTTTTCATTGTTTAGGGTGAGACCCCATACCGTAAACCTGCAGTATTCTTACAAAAGTCTCTACCATGCAAATTCAGTAGGTTTTTCGCAGTCAGCATGTAGGACAACCTCTCTACACCTAGTTTCAGTCAAATCCTTACTGGCTTATGATTTTCTCTCTCATACCGTTAATGTAGGTACCATAATCCTCGCAGCGAAGTCATAATTTGGCGAAGTACAGCTGCGCTTGTAGCTTACGTCATAGACTACATACTGGCGAAATCTGATTGCGTCATATTCAGCGAAAGGAAAGTTATTAAAAGAGTTACAAAACTCAGTTTCCAACTTAGTATAATATTATGTGAATGTCATATTGGGTCATCCATATAAACAAAAATCTGAGGAGATTCTGAATAATGACTACTTACCTTTGTAAAAAAATTTCCTCTTGATATTTTGGGGTCTTGAGCCTGGAAAAAAATTGAAAAGCATCCAAAAAAATTTTTCGGATACGTGGCTAAGGCCACGCACCTTCATTCGAAAATTGGAACCGCCACTGCCGTGTAAGTACCGTAACTCGACAAGCTATGGCAGTATAAATCAAAAGATACGCTTCGCCAAACTGTGTTGAGGGTCACCTTTGTATAAGAAATTTGTGTCCAATCTAAACCGAGATATGGCGATGCAACGGGAATTTCGGGACTTTGATGGCGGCAGTCACGGGTTTTTTTTTCTTATATTACGAGCAGTATTGTGTGAAGGGTTCGGGCTTTGAGAATTCCAGGTACGCATAATTTCCTTCGAGAGACAAATACTATTATGGGACCAGAAATAGTAAGATGAGCAGGATATATGCTGCTTGAAGTCAATGAAATTGAGAAACGAGATGACATCAAAATGAAGACATTTGAGGGAATTTGAAAAGTCTAGACATGGCACAGATGAAGCGTTTACAAATGTGTCAAAAGAAGAATTACTGAATATTAGGGTCTTCCGCTCGTTGTGAAAAGAAGCCTAGATTCGTTTTGAGCAAGAATTCACAACAACACGAGGCTCTTGTGTCAGAATTTGATGCTGTTTCATCCGACTATTTTATATCAGAGATATTTAAAAACTTAGAGAGACGCTTTTCCGGTTTTTGGAACAACTATAAACCTCGATATTCCTTCTCTCTTCGGAGACTACGTTGGCGACTCAAAAACCTTTTGAGTGCTTCAGATAATTGCCAGAATTCTTCACTCGTCACATGCTCGAAATTCAGCTAATTTTCGGGATCTTCATTAGAGACAAAAATAGAATAACTGCAGCGAAACATGAAAATTTTCATAGTCTTGGCGATTCAAAGTTTGATTGTCGTCGACCATTATTTGTGCAGGATCTTCGAGTTTCATTTGCTTCGAAAATCAAGTGCATGGAGATTTTGCTGAGTTCACGACATTTAAACGGAAAACAGATTTTTCCAAATGAGCAATTACTGAAAAATTTTTGCGATTGATCTAGGTATTCAAAAAAGTGAAATGTGCCGAAAGATTTCCAGTGCCATCTATTTAAGAATGTCAGAACAAAAATTTTTGTAAATCAAGTGATTGGGCATCTTCGTAGGTACCCGAAAAAAACATAGCCAAAACTATGCGAACCGTGTAGAGGCAAAATAAACGTATCAAATATAAAGAAAGAATTGTTGAACAGAGCGATATCTAGGCTCGTCGGCCAGTCTTTCATGAAATTCGATGCCCGATCAAATAAACAGACAAAACTTTGGGGACGATCTGATACATGGCTTGCTTATAAGCATTTCATAAACATTAAATAATGCGTTTACCTTCCAAGAATGTCCTCTTTCAATTTTATTGGTGGACTTGCTCGAGGATGCTAAGCTGACAGTGGATATCTGTACACATGGGAGCACAACTGGAGGTAGGAGACCGTAATCGCTGAGTTTTCTGAAAATTTTCAGTAAATTTCGATGAAAAATACAACTCTCTCATCTGCATTTTTCGTCTCATTTTGCAGAATAATGAGCCCCTTGCAGCTTCCACTCATCGAATGACAATTGCCGTATATGTCGGTTATTTTTTGCGTCACATCGCAGCACGAAATCCCCTTAGATTTCCATAACGATGAGGAAATCCGGTAACGACGGAGGTGGCAAGTCATGCGAAACGAATGTTGGCGAATTGGCTCTACAGCTTTTTAGGCACATGAAAGTAAAAAATGACGCATCTCCTCGGCTTATACAAAACGGCTATATAGCAGTGCTGAAGAGACATCCTGACCTGCTAGAGTGACTAACGCAGTTAGGTGCGCGCACAAACCATATTAGCACTAGCAAGCTGTTTGGCGTCTTGACGCTCACGAAAATCAAGGAGAGAAGATGAGAGGAGCGCCCGAAATAGAAGTCATCAGCAGAGTCTCAGTAGAGGAAAAAGAAAAAAGGGCTAATGAGAGTGACGTGTGGAAAATGACTAGATTGGTGTTAAATGAGAGGAAGGCGACACAAACTCTGATGAGCAAAGGTTTTTCAGCAAAGACATCGCCGTGCTCTGCTCAGCATCTATGCTATTCGGCACAATGAGGTCTCATGCTTCCAGAATTACAGAAGCTAGCTATGATTAGTTCCGCTGTGATACGAAAGATTCGTACTGTTTATGAATTGATAAAATTTTGGTTTGATGACGCAAAAATAACGATAATTAGGTGGGGAACTCACCGTTGCTCCTCCAGCCGTTGCACATGCGAGACGATGCCGTAATCACTACGACTTCGGGATCCCTGCAGAGTGTGGCTGGGTCGCAAACCACTTCGAGGGCTTTCATCTTTAAACATAGATCTCCTCCTGAAAGCAAACGATGAGTGCACAGAAGAATACAGTTACAGTATCACCCTCTCGTGGTTTTTACCTGTGCGGATGCAATCCAGATTCGACACTCATAAGACAGACGAAAGTGCATAAAATGCCGTTAACATAGGTTTTCATAATGACGTCATCGCTTAAGAAAGCCGTGTTTTCGGGACGCGCGCTGGATTACGGCAGAAGAGGAGGCGATGCTGGTATTAGATAGGTTATGGAGAGGGCGCAAGCAAATTGCGTACTTACTAGCTGAGCCACCAACACGACACCTGACAGAGACTACGATCGACATCGAATTTGCATGAAACCCGGAAAGTAGTGATTGGTGGTGAGCGAAACCTTCACAGAGAGGTGGTCCTTGAAAACAGAGAGTTTGGCAAAGTTATGGGGAAACACGGCAAAAGGAAATGAAGTGGACGGGCGTTAGCAAAGATTCTTGGAGGATAGGCTGGCCTTATTGATTTGAGATATTTCATGCTTCAGACTAGGAAAATCCAAGAAAAACTGTGAAGAGGAGACACATCTTAGCCAGCCGAACAAATGCATGTATTAATCAATTAACCTATTACGACTTGGCTGCAACGAGCACATATGAAGGAATTCGGTAAAGGGAAAGGAGTCTTGAAGCTAAGACATCACCAAGAACACAGCGAGATGCTATCTATCAAATTACAACTATGATTGTCATTGAAAGAAAGTCAGGATGGAAAGAATATAGACGAGAGAACGTGAGCGTGCTATGGTCACCCCTATTCCAAAAGCAATTCTCAAGTGGCGATTCGAAAGAACGACAAAGGAATGGCAGACGTAGATTGGCCTCAAAACTGCTGAATGCGATATGGATTTAACTGCATAGTGCCAAGTGCTTGTTATCTTGCGCTCCAATGGCTAAATTTCAATCGAGCACACGCTAAGAAAACCTAGGTTTCAAAAACATTGCTTAAATAAAGGCCGAAGCTGTATGAGGAGTTGCATAAAATAGGAGTTGGTGCTGGTTTTGTCGGGGCGATGACGTACATTTTGAAATGAGCAAAACGAGCAGGGGCAAAAAATGCCTATTATGTCTAAGCTTTAGGGGTGTGACGACAGCAGGGACTATTGGTCTATTCCATATTTGGCACAAATGTTGAGTATAATTAGTAATACGTCATATACGTATGTTTGATATGTTAAATTCATTCTTAAGCAATTGGCAATGTTTTCATCTTATTAGCACGGTAGCTTATCAATTCATCCAAGTGGGTTTTTTTCTATAGATACATTGCTTATATGCCTAATTAGCCTCAGCTAAACCTGTGTATCCCAAGTATCCTCAGACTTGAAAATGAAAAGGTGCTCTCTGACTTACTTCTTGAATCGGATGGGAAGATTCTCCACAGTATTGTATGTGTTGTCCCGAGTAGCCGAGAGCGCTTTGATTTGCTGGGTGAGCTCTTTTCGTTGCCCTTTCCTGGACAAGAACGTGTTCCTGTAGCGCTCGGGGAATAGTGAACGACTTACTTCAGTGAGGGAGCGAGTTTCTTCTGTTCTTGTCCGGTTAAAGCAATTATACGGTGGCGCGAAGCTCGCATGTGCACTCCTGCTGCTCTTCTCATGCTAAATGTCATAAATGTACACATCTGGATGATGAAAGCAAAAAAAACTGGTGCATTTTAGTGTGCAACTGTCCAGTGCAAGAAAAAAGTCACATATCCAACATAGACATCGAAATCGCTGAGTTGCAGCGTCACTGAAAGCTATGAGTTATCAAACTTTCGAAATCACAAACAGAACGAAGCTTGGCTGCAGAAAATGACGTCCCGCTACCTTGGATAACCAAACAATAGCTGTTGATCAAGTTGATATTTGACAGATGTCAAATCTCCGAAGTTTGCACACTTTAGCTATGTTTCCTTAGTAGTTTTCTCAATGTAGCTCCGGAAGCTGCACCGCATTCTCAATAACGATCTTTGAAGTTTGATTAAGTTAGAAATTCAAATATCTGTATTCTCAGCAAATAGTGCACTTTCGCACTCACAAAAGAGACTGAACGGTCACTTGAGAAAAATTATATCACAAGACTTCCATCAAACCAAAAGCTGCACTTACTTAATCACCCTAAAGACATAAGTCGGCTTTCGAAAGCCTGGATTTCATGGTACGAAATCGCGAAATTTTCGCAAACTGCAAATAGCGCTTCTCAACGAGTTTTTTCCCAATATTGCGAGATTTGTTGGCTAAATCTTTTTTTTTAAATTTCATACTCAATATGAGGCAGTCCTAGAATGTGTGCAAAGTCTCAGTGAGTCTAGCCATCAATTCCATTTTCTACTACATAGCTTTCTTCTTGCTTTATCGAGCTTCTTGAGGTTTGGAACACTTCTTTCAAAAGCGAGGTGATTCGCCTTGAGCGACACTTTTTTTCTAGTCCAGATGGGCGATTAATTGTGCATTTGAAAGCAGATAGATTTACTTTTTTTTTCAACTTCACGGCCTGTAATCGATGGCTAGTAGAGATACACGCTATAAAGTAGCCATGAAGAAACCCAAGGGATTATTAAAGTGGCATGAAGTCCTTCACAGTTACATTGAGCACACAGTCAGTACCTCATTCCAAAATCGACAAGTCCTAGATGTAAACCAACTCAAATCAAAAACTTGTGTTTTTTTTGGCTGAAGGTCAAGAATGGATTGCTCACAAAGTCATCAAAAGTGCTATATATGCCAGTGGAAGAAGCGCGATTGTAGGAAACCTGTGCGTGGATGAGGATACTTTACATGACAATACGCAAAAATATCATTTTCTGGATACGTTTGAATAATTTCATTTCCAGCAGAAGACAGCCAAGACTCATCTTGTTGTTCACATGGTGTAGTTAAAACATTCTGCATTGGTAAAGCTTTCTTTATCGAAAAGGTTGCTTACCACTTTCTAAACGCTTGGTTGAAAGTAAGAACCTCTGATCACGAGGGATGAAAAATTTCTTAGAATTTGTTTTTTGAAAGCTGAAACCGGCATATATTTCTAACGTATACGAGTCAGTCCTCTACGATCAGGCAATCTAAAAATGAGACTAGAAAGAGAGGAAACAGCACTTGCCGTAAGTTCGCCATGGCCACAAATATATTTTCTGACTGCAGATTTTCACAAATTCCAAAATAGATTCAGTGCATAACATAAACTTTGAAACTTACCTAACTTTGTAGGCTAACAGTAAATTTGGGGTTGTCTTGAAATCTTGTGAGACGTAGACAGCGCCTTCACATGGATTCATTTTGCCCAATGAGAAGTTACTAGTTAGCAGATGAAAGGCACCAAATACGCAATAATTCTTCCCTTTTCTCTCATCTTCATTAGCCCATGCTTTCCTGCACATTTTCGGGGCCAACACTCTTTCGCTAGTTCCACTGTCTGTATCCACACTCTAACTTGGCAGTTATGCCACCTCCAATGCATAAAGAATTAGGCGAAAAACTCACAAATACTTGGTGACGTCAACATCGTGCGAAAAGCAAAGCGGGAAGCGAAGGCCAGACTGGTCGTTTCCGAAACGAATTAGAATGCCAGGCTAAGAATTCATTCGCTCAAAAGGAATGAGAGGTGTGAAAGGAGGCTTAAGTCGATGGCGTGCATTCAGCATACCAGAAAAGCAAAAAGCCGATTCTCTTTGGCTTAATTCGCGGACTGCTGGTAGACGAAGCAATAAACATTCGTCACAGCATACTGGTGCTGTCACATTCTGCATTATTCATAATGAACTTCCACAATTCATGTGAAATAGAAAAGGTTGTGGGGGAAGGGTTCACTCGTTTCTCCATTGCAACAATTTTGAATATTCACTCCTTTTGTCCCATATCTCCTCAAGTTGTTTGGAAATGACAACCTCTAGCGATTGGAACATTTTGAAACTGTCCTCTAGCTCCCTAACACTTGCGTTTGTGAATAGGGAGATAAAGTATTCTACCCTTCACCACAATGACAAAGTAGCAACTTACGAGACATCTGGGGACAATTACCTTTGCTCCTCGTTTTTTGGGCTCTGACGAAGGCGAAAAACCGAAACGTAAGTCTAATTTAGACTTTCCAATTTTGACATATAATGCTCAGTAACTGAACATTATTGTACTTTAAGATACCAGGATTTATAAAAAGACGAACTTGCTTTCTCAAAGTGCATTATAAATAGTGACTTAGCATCACATGGATAGTTAGTGCTGGTATGTGTGTTTACGAGGTGCTGAAGAGATGTGGAACTAATCGACTATTTAAATGTTTATTCGAGAAAATATTAGCTGATTATATCAACGTGCTAAAAACATTCATGAAATATGGATCAACTTTGTCTATAAATCAAAACCACCGAGCTACGCTGAATCTCCGTGAAATCTTCACCGGAAGGAAACTGCAAGAATAAGTTTTGGATAGAAGCAAATCTTGTTGAGCCGTTTTTGCAGACGGCTGATTTGACGGCGGATTTTGTTAAAAACGTGTTTTTAGTTTCAAATCTGGAGAAAAAAGTAGATAGCAGTTCCAATTATTTCATGACTACTTTCACCGTCTGCACGTTGTACTGATGAAATCTTAAGATATCTTGCAAGTTTTTCTTTCAAAATATGGCGCTCATTCTTTTTGGCATAAGACAATATGTTGCGAGCTATAAATGTACATGAAATATTATATTTTTGATAACAAAGTAGAAACCAACCACGCATCTTCCGAATGCATAACCTCGGCTTGATCAGTTTGAAAGAGCCTACAAAAAGCTTCATTTTACTTTTGATCCAGCTATTTCCAATCTGAACAATAACTTTCGAGAAACGCATTAGTTTTTCTACTCCGTCACCAAAGACATACGCTTTGAGACTTTTGTAGATCACGACATAGTCTACTCATATCGAAATGATTGGCCCCCTTCGAAGAATATTACGATATTGGATGCAAAACTTGAATGTCAACCTAGTGATATGATGCTGAACACAGCTCTTTTAGATTACTGGCTCGACTATCACAGCTTGCATCCAAGTGGCTTGGACACAGAAATTTATTGGATAAAAAATTCTGAGGCAAATGCAAAAGATTTAGGACACATAGGCAATTGTTGTATATTCGACATATGCATGTCTTTGGAATTTCACAAAAACTATGATTCTTCTCTCGGAAGAAAATGACTACATACAAATCAGCGAAAGCTTCTGAGATTGATTTAACAAGTACGATTAAGTAGAACAAACAAAAATCCATGAGAGCAAAGATGAGCAACAATTTTAGAAATGCTTCAAGATTTGTGAATTGCAGTAGTCGCGTGGATAGTAAGTAGTCGGACCGCTTATCTGAACCAATGTCGGTTGAAAACGTACTGCCAGCTTTCTTTAATAATTTGTTGAAGACAGGATGGCTAACCTGACTAGCTGCAGAACTTTCACCACCATAAACTATTTGCCTTTTCAGCACTTGATCTTTTCGACGATTCATAACATAAACAGCGAATATGGCTATCAAAGCGAGAATTATCGTGATCAGCACAATGGATAAAAGAGCTATGGCCCAGCCAAATGAGTTGCTTCGGCTGAAAGCGAACATTCAAATACATAAAAATGTTTATTCTCAACTTACGCTGCCAGGTCTGCAACTGTACAGCAACCATGGTTACAACATCCCATTTCGCACTGGTATGGAATGGGGAATTCATTCGAGGCTCCGCTTTTATAGTAGCATATCTTCTGGCCTGTTTCTGAAATTGTGCACAGCTACAGGGTCACAGGTATGTCGCTCATGGGGCAACTTACAAGGGAAGTCACTTAACTTAGGTCGGGCTTTTGAAATGAGGCACATATATTTAGAATCAGTTCGGAACGCTGATTCCAAATATGCTATCCTTAGCTGCGATGCGTTCCTCTGAAGCAAGTTATGAGCTTTTTTAGTATGTATCATTGACATATAACTGAATATGGAAAGAAGGTCTTTAGATGAAAATCTGCCCAAAAAGTGGTGGAAAGTCAAAATAACATCAAATTGAGTCATTTGGCTTTGATAGGGTATGATATGCATTTGAACCACTACCTAGATGATGATACAGTAGCATGCCCAAGTCGGTCAACACACAAAATTTGCTCAGGAAAAAGCTCATAACTCGCTTCAGAGGAACGCTTCGCAGCTAAGGAAAGCAGATTTGAAATCAGCGTTTCAAGCTGATTCCAACCATACGTGTCTCATTTCAAAAGCCCGACCTAAGTTAAGTGACTTCCCTTGTTAGTAAGGCAACTGATCGGATGTAATGTGCTAGAATGTATGGTCTATGACAGATGTTCGCACGATGGTGCTGCGAGACTTACGCTTCTACTTCATCTACGTCGTCCTTATTAGTTATCTTTTGAATTTTTACCACTTCCGATCAGAGGGAAGCCATGCAAAAATACTTGGAACGTACTTAAACAGAGGAACTTGTTCGCATCCACCACTCATGGCAAACATCGCTATTGAAAAATCTTTCTGAGAAATATAAAGGGAGCGCGATTACAAGATAGGATACTCCATATATAGATTACAATATGGGGTTGTTGATCTTTTTTCAGAACAACACCGTTCGTAATTTGTGATGAAAAAAATCACCGCACTCCGCCGGAGTTTGCCGAACTTGGTTTTACATCGCCATATCTTCAGAGGGAATGCTTATGAATGAAAACACCATCCGACGCCATGCTGAGATGCATCTTTTTATGTATAGAAGTGTCTGTTTGGGCGCAACAGTCGGTTAAATTCCAACGATGTTTCCAAATTTCTGCTCACGGTACAGTGGTCGTTGTGCAATGATTGAACATTCTGAGTATCTGTCCTGAGCATGAATCTGGAAGCATCGTCAAACTCCGACTATTGTGGTCACACAGGCGCTTCTATATATCAAAAGATGGAATTCGTCGAGCTGAGTTGAGTAATGCTTTTGGATTCAGAATTGTTCAGTTTGAAGCAAGATATGCTTCCCAAAGAATGTTCTCATAGGCACCATCATCTGCACAATCACGTGGGTGCCTTTCGATTTTAACATGTCCACTTCAAATGAGCGCCTTAAATTTGCCTGCATCTCAAAAAAGCGAAAGCCAGCGAGCTGACGTGGTAAATATGGGAACATTTCTGGAACACAGACGATAGATAGATCTATGGCTACACTTGGATGCTCCAAGAAAGTCACTGGAATATTTGGTATCCGTGTTACCTAGTATGGAACCTTCAAATACATTGTAATCCAGCTTTGACTATAATGCTCTATTTTGTTATAAACGGTGGTTATCAACCTGATAAACATGATCAGGATGGGTGGTGCGAACTAAACAGCCAGTACTGCAGTAGGCAAAAGGCACGTGTGAGAAATAAGTCTTTTTTCTCACCATCATAGTTACGAACGACTTGTTTCTAGAAAATTCATGGAGATAATGGAATAACTTCTATGCAGCTCCCTTAAATTGTCCCTTGAGAGTTAGTGCACAGCTTGCTAAAAGCTTATACAGGGTAACCCTCACAATGTGCTGAAAGTTTCAATATCTTTCAGTAATTCTCTTGTGTGAGGAGCTTCTGCAGTCATGCAAACACCATATTATAGAGCTAGCTTCAACTTATGAGGAAAGCTACCTAAATTAGCTCGGTCTTTTGGTAAGGGACTTATATAATCGAATACAACTTCAAACATGATTTCAAATGTGCTATTTTTAACTGCCGCGCACCATTTCGAAGCGAGTTATGGGCTTTTTCCTGCACAAAATTGGCATGCTCATCGACTCACTGGCATCACGGCATCATCATCTAATAGTAAGTGCTAATACACTTGCAATGAGCTTCTTTTTGGTGAGAAAAGGTTGGACTTGTGTTATTTCGATATCTCAACACCTTTTCCTTGCAGATCTACAGATCTTTACCTACAAGGCAATCTTCCCATGTTTAATAATATGCTAATTTTGCGCAAAGAACCATAACTCGCTTCGAAATGGTGCGCGACAGCTAGAAATGGCATTTTTGGAATCATCGTCTGAAGCTGAATTAGAACACATTTCCTTGCCAAAAGACCGAACTAAATTAGGTAGCTTCCCTTGTTAGATTCGCAGTGCTGAGCAAATTACCTAGCTTCCTTCATTACTGTAGGATTACTGTAGGAATTTTGAAGAGGGTTTTGAGCTATAGAGGATCCAATTTTGTCTTAGAAGGCGAGCCAAGCTGCCTGAAAATCGTAAACTAGGCTAGTCAGACTTGCTAAATTCAAACATGAGGTTTTTCACAGTAATGCTTCTTTCGTGAGTTATGTCAAGAAAAAAACAGTGACAGCTGTCTCTTGAGTACCGTTAAAAACTGCTGTTGCGCTGCTTGACAAGCCTCAAAAACATGTAAAAAAATAGAGCAGAATCAGCATGCGTAAACCTGTCACACAAAGAATATCAGAATCAAGTTTGAGGAGACGGCTTATAAAGAGTGCTGTATGCTAGTTCCTAATGTATTTAGTCTTCAAATGATGACGGGCGATAGATGATCACTATAAATCTAAGTTGACGCCAACTCAATATGTTGTTTAAATGGCCGCGAAAGCTCTTCATACAAGAAATTTATTAAAGTCAAAAAAACGATAAATTTTGGGACGCTTTGAATATGAAGTTTTGTAGGAGTGGAATGTATCAGTGTTAGTACAGTCCGATTATTAGTACTGAATGAATGACTTTCAAATTCGGGGGATGTAGTTGGGAACGAAACAAAAAAGGGTAAAGCATTTAAGAAGTTGTTTGATCGAAAACAAAAGCGGGAGGCATCTTTTTCCCCTAAATTGGTCGCTGAATTATTGTAAATGGTCTACATGAGTCATAAAATTACGCAAGAACTTGACCTTCCCGCAATTGATCACAAAACTTCCACAAAAAATCATTATTTTGTAGAAGTTCAGATAAGAGCAGATATGAGAAGAACTATGGCTTCTGTCATGCCCTACCTCAGATTTTGGAGGTCATAAGTTTAAGAGGCGTCCCAAAAATGTTTTTGTTGTGAAAAACTCCTAGAACCATCACTGTCATCTTATATATAAAGCTGAATGTCTGTTTGTCTGTCTGTCTGTCTGTCTGTATGTATGTATGTCTGTACGTATGTTCCGAATTGAAAACTCCATTTCTGAACCGATCCGGACCAAACTTGGCACACATACACTTCGGGCCCCGGCGGGTGTCATAGGCTACTTTTCGTCATCGATCGATATCGATTTTATCGATTTTTATCGATTTTTTTGCTGAGTTCACCTACGGGGCTGGGAGTTGGCACAGGGGGGTAACCGAGCATGGGGATTCCGAATACAATATTGGTTTTCAGGATTATCGATTACTTTTATCGGTTTTATCGATTTTTTTGCAAAGTTTGAGCTACGGGGCTGGGAGTTCGCACAGGGGGGGCAATCGAGCATGGGGATTCCGAATACAATATTGGTTTTCGGGATTATCGATTACTTTTATCAATTTTATCGATTTTTTTGTAAAGTTTGAGCTACGGGGCTGGGAGTTGGCACAGGGGTGTAATCGAGCATGAGGATTCCGAATACAATATTGGTTTTCAGGATTATCGATTACTTTTATCGATTTTATCGATTTTTTTGCAAAGTTTGAGCTACGGGGCTGGGAGTTGGCACAGGGGGGTAATCGAGCATGCTGATCACCCCCGTGGGGGTGATCAGCATGCTCGATTACACCCCTTTGCCAAATTCCAGCCCCCTAGCTCAAATTTTCAAAAAATCGATAAAATCGATAAATGTAATGGACGATCTTGAAAACTAATATTGTATTCGGAATCCCCATGCTCGATTACCCCCCTGTGCCAACTCCCAGCCCCCTAGCTCAAACTTTGCAAAAAAATCGATAAAATCGATAAAAGTAATCGATAATCCCGAAAACCAATATTGTATTCGGAATCCCCATGCTCGATTACCCCCCCTGTGCGAACTCCCAGCCCCCTAGCTCAAACTTTGCAAAAAAATCGATAAAATCGATAAAAGTAATCGATAATCCCGAAAACCATTATTGTATTCGTAATCTGCATGCTCGATTACCCCCCTGTGCAAACTCCCAGCCCCGCAGGTCAAACTTTACAAAAAAAATCGATAAAATCGATAGAAGTAATGGACGATCCTGAAAACTAATATTGTGTTCGTAATCAGCATGCTCGATTACCCCCCTGTGCAAAATCCCAGCCTCGCATGTCAAAATTTACAAAAAATCGATAAAATCAATAAAAGTAATGGACGATCCTGAAAACTAATATTGCATTCGGAATCCCCATGCTCACTTCCCCCCCCTGTGCCAACTCCTAGCCCTGTAGGTGAACTCTGCAAAAAAATCGATAAAAATCGGTAAAATCGACATCGATCGATAACGAAAAGTGGACTGTGACACCCGCCGGGGCCCGAAGTGTATGTGTGCCAAGTTTGGTCCGGATACGGCGGAGCCGGGTAAGCCAACTAGTATCCGTTATATAATTTGTAAGCTATTCTTCAAATCAATCAACAAACGTTCTTTCTCATAATACTTTATTAAGACGATAATTTTACCTGACATTTCTTGACGTATCAATCCTCCTAAGGCTCTCCGTGTCGTAAGTTCCAAGGGATCCAGGGTGCTGAAAACAAACATAGATTAGAGCAAATCGTAGCAGTTCAAATCACAAATTATTTATTTTCCTTTCTTTCAATTGCGCTTCTGTGTTTGAAAGCTATGGCATAGCTTTGTAATATCTGTGATCTTCATGGCTTGTGGGTGTGCGTTATCCGAAATCATGAGCAACATAGAAATTTGTCACAAGGCAAATTTCTCGTGGTTGGGCGAAGAAAAAACGCTGGGCGTTACGCGAGCGATGTCAGCAACTGCGGCTCAATCTGGCAAACTCCACCCGCTGAGAGCCTGTTAGTTGACTGGGCGTTCCTATCACATTTACGCCCACTGCACCCGTCCAAGGATGGACAAGAACATAATTTTGACATTTTCGATGCTGGGAAGCAAATTTCACGCCCAGCACGCCAAAAGCTCAAAAACGATAAAAAATACCATTACGCTCGGGTTTGCCCCTCCCCCCCCCCCCCGGCGAAAACTTCTCAAACCGTTGTATAATTTGGAATGGCGAGTCTATAAAACCAGCTTACGTTGTTGTGGTAGTTGACGCCAGATAGCGTTGCTGCTGTTCGCTGATAGGCAGGCTCTCCCACCTTGACATAATCTGGAGGTAAGTAAAAAATGATTACTGTAGACATGACCGGTACGTAGGAACTCATTAGGCAATGAACGCAGGAAACGCGGGGCATTATCCACGAAGAGCAAGCTTCCAAAAAAGCAGGCAAACGACTGCGTCATTAAGAAGAACGCGAGAGCATCACATCAAGTAAAAATTGCAATAAGTGAGATGACAGCAACTTTTCCTCCAAAAACGGTGAAGGAAATAGAGGGATCCTGCCAGAAGGCGTCCACCCAAAGTGTGAAACATTTGCTACGTTCCAGTCCACTGATGAGGTCTCTTGAAGTGAGAATAAACGTGACGAAAATCCAAAGCCTTTTGCTCTTTTAGAAGATTTTATTGAAAAATTCACTTCATATTACAGGTAGCTCTTGATGCCTTCTTATGGCCGAAGCAGTTGATATTTATAGCTTGCAGTGAAGTTCCCGTCGCATCCAACAACGCTTTAACTCAAGCACTCGTCCGCATTTGCAGAGATGGGACCGAAAAAAAGGTTATTCAAGATTTTGCGCATTTTGCACTTCATATTTGGAATCGGGACCACACAAAAACTCGAGGATGATAAAAATATGAAAGTCAAGGATATGGATGGGCGTTACCTACGGAAAGAAAATTCAGAGCAGCCATACAAGACATTCATTTAGCAGAAGAACTTTGTTGAAATAGAATGAATTGAGATCTTTTCCTTGAATCACTTCAATTACCTAGCAAAGCAAAGTTCTCAAGAGCAAACCTTTTTAGATACCTTATTCCGCACCAAACATCGAAATGAGAGGTCTACGCGGATCTGCTTAGACAAACGACCAGACGATGCAATAATGAGCTTTATGCCAACAACATTGCTAAACTTTGGATCTCCACAGGAAAGTTACCGTAAAAATAAAGTCAAATATCCAACGAATGAAAGAGCTTCACCAATGTATTTCAAGGTCGACGACAGTTCGCGCACGAACATCTCGCAGCAGCTGTCATGATTAGAAGTGGGCAAACGTCTCGTTTGTCTAAGCAGATCCGCGTAGGCCTCTCGTTTCGATGTTTGGTGCGGGATAAGGTATCGATAAAGGTCTGCTCTTGAGAGCTTTGCTTTGCTAGGTAATTGAAGTGATTCAAGGGAAAGGATCACGCTTCATTTCATTTCGACAAAGTTTTTCTGCTAAATGTGACTGGTTGAAGGTCCCATTTTAGAACAAAACTGAAGATATGTGCAGTCCTACAGCTAATCGGTATGAAGATAGTAGAAGTAAGTAGGTTAGTATGATAACACATGGTGGATTTGACATAAATATCGATGTTTAAGATACTTCTCAGTCTCAATTGATTAATTGATAGTTGAAAAGGTTCATAACAGTCTTGATTTGACTTCCGTGTTATTTTACATCTTGCTCTAAAATAATTCTCTTCCAACGCACAAGTAACCAAGGATGTTATTCAGATAGAAGCTCAAATTGGATAATAATATAGTGAAACATTTTAGGATGATTATTGCTGTAAACTTTCTGAATATCGCGAAACAAGCAGCTGCAAATCCAATAATCATCTGAGGCTTTTCGTTCTATGCTTATCAATGAAGATAGTACTGCTTGCAAACCAAAATGTATTGCTTGACCAAAATTAATTGCATTAGAATAAAAAGAATAAGAGAATACTGTATTTGTGAAGAGAGCACAGAATGACAAGATTCCTCCAAACTCATTGTGAATTATCTATGAAACGTATGAAAAAATATGGCTGTGACTATAGTTGATGTGGATAATAAGATAATAGCTCATGCAAAATTTGCATACGCTCTCGTAACATCCAATTCAACTCAAACAACATATTTCAAAAATGAACTTGCTTTTACCACTCAGATGGCTCGTACATTACTTCAACGAATGCAATGTTTACGTTTGATTCAGCATCCAAGATATATGTAAGCAGAGCAAGGCATGTTATTTCCGCTCTTCGCAGCTATCTGCTATCACGAGTAATTTTTGATTGCATATACGATGAATGCAGAAAAGAAAGAAAGTTGCAAAGCAAACAATGAACTTCTATAATATTGATTTCTGTCCCTGAAGGGACAGGTAACACTTTTCTCACAAAGGGTTTTCTCTAGAGCTGTGAATTTCTAGGGATCTATAAAACTCAAAGGGAGTACTCGAAAAGCATGTTTGATGCCACGCCCCTGAATTAGAGAATTTCCCCCTCTCCTTTCCCACGTAAAAAAATGTCACGGCCACTGTTATCTAATTCAGTTATGCTAATTGTGGAGTGATTGGAGTGATGCCACTAGAATCCAAATCCTGTGAGAACCCAAGCGTAAATCAGATCAGAACAAAATGTTCGCCTGTCACTTATTGCTAATTTTATGCAAATGCAATTCTCGATTGGTCCTTACAAACGCAGTGTAGCGAAAGCACGAACTTATTGGTATTTGTCTAGTTTATCATCTACAGAATATTTGAGAGTGGGCAGCATGCAATAGCATATAGTGCACAGTTAGATAAATATTAGCCTGTGCTAGAGCACGATCCGCTCAAGAGCTCGTACCTCCATGAAAAACGTGTTGACGTTGAAGGACAAAAATACAAAAGAAGATGCGGATAGCAGAGCCCGATAGATATCAAATACGATCTAACAAAATCCTAGCTGAACCAAGCAGGATTATACAAGTGGAGAAACAACGGCATATCTAAGAAAACCTTAGAGCTCATTTGCAGAGAACGAAGAAAATTAATAGGTTGGCTCATCAGTCTTGCACCAAAAGTTGGGAAAAGTCGCACGTATTTGCGGGCTCGGGACGAGGTGGCTTTCCGATTATGCAAAAAAACAAAGTCCCCTCTGACTTTCGCAAATTTTACGAAGTTCCCTTTGACCGAAAATTGGAAACGTCGACTACTTAAAAAAACTAACCTAACTTGTTTTTTCAGACCGCAAAAACGATATTCCCTTTGCTTTTTGCTCCCAAAAACGATATCCATCTTGCTCATAAACCACCTGTGCCGACCCCTGCATATTTGTCCTCTGATCAATTTCAATTTTATATTGGTTAGAAAAAGAAACAAGCGCTGCCTAATAGTGCCTAAAGCAAAAATGCACGTTAACATACTACGGTGATAAACTGATCAAGAACTCAAACCGTAGTTTTTTGAATTTTAGTCCCTATAATAATTGAAGGTTCAAAGAACTAACCTTATTTCTGACTATGTTTGGTTGGTTTTGCGACTTACTCTGGAGAAAATTGTAATCATAGGCTGTTTCTACTAGTCATTATAATGTTCGACTTATCGAATAAAATTGATTTATAAAGTAAGTGGAGCAATTGTTGTAGGTCAAAAATTATAAATGATTTGAAACCTTGTTAGATATATTTTCAAATTAATTATTAGCATTTTTTGGTGAAAGGCTCATGAATCAAAGTAATACATAGACTAGTGAAACCACAGGAAAAGAACTGGCCTGAACAAATTCGACCTCTAGTGGGGAATTCATGCAAAGCACACCTATAGCAGCTATACGAAAAGAACGAACTTGTTGATGTTATTTTCAAAAGGCGAGAGCCTGAGTGAAAAAGAAAGTAGACAAAACAAGAAAAACGGGGTCAACAGCTTTAAACAAAGCGAATTATTTGCAAATGGAATCTGTCATTTTTTTTCTCAACTTAACAATTCGCGAGTACTGAACGGGAGATACTGAGTGTCGTCGAACCGTTTTCGGTGCTATCCAAACACGACCGACTCAACGGAAAACAGCTAACCAATTGAGGTCTCGATTTGTTTACAGTGGGGATTTTGACGCGCCAGCCGTGAGCATACTAGATGATATGACAATCTCTCGAGTTCTTCTATTGAATATATCAGGGCAGCATCTGGGCAGTCGCCTAGTTAGGATGCTGATCTTATTCTGCTTACGCTATAGAAAGCAATCTTTTTTATGCGTGACTGCTTATCAGCCAATAGCATACTCATACAATTCACCGGAACTTCCGCAGGACAAGCAGAACTTGCAGCGTTTCCGCAGCACTTTCTTAACCATTGAGAAAGTGTACGCTCCAAAACGCGAGGTTTCCGCAGGAAATTGACGTCACAGCAATCGTAAACCGGAACTTTCGCAGCATTTTCCATAAAGCGCTGCGAAAATGCAGTGAGGCTCGTAAGGTTTCCGCAGCACTTTAACCTGCCAGCGTTTCCGCAGCACTTTGACCTGCCAGCATTTCCGCAGGACTTTGAGAGCGCGTGCATTCGCGATTGCGAAATAGCGAACGCAACATACAGCGCATAGCGCACTCTTTTCTTCCATACTGTTTCGCTTCTGTTCCTCCTCTAGTCTTTCTCTTTTTTCTTTCTTTCTTCAATGTTGGCGTAAGGAAACCTATGCTCATCCATATTCTAAGTATTCTTTCAGGCATCGGTGCAAGTGTGTGAACAACCATCACCAAGCTGCTGGAGTGCTGGAAAAGGACTCAACGGAGGGACTTCGTCTAAGCAAAACGCCCTTGTTCAGGTACAGTGACCGCCAAAAAGTTGCGGACAAGCCTCCCTCCCTTTTTCATCGCTCTTTTTCAGAAGGAAAACAAGGATAAAAAATGTAGTGATTGCATGAGGTGATAGAGCTCTTCAAGATCTACAATCTGCACTTTGCGTTTTTCGAAAAACATGTACTCTAAAAATTTTAAAAAACTTTTTCTAAATAAAGTCCGAAAATGGCCGCGTCACAATGTCGCGGACAATAATTCTTCGAACGCAAAAATTTTCTTTTGAGTCTTATTCTGAGGCTGAAACACAAGTAATCCAAACGGGTAAGCATACTACTATACAGAGCTCGTCAAGAACTACACACTGGTTATGGTTGCTTCCGAAAAAACACAAGCTTGAGTTTTATTTTGCTTTTTTTTCAAAAATGACTTCTAATTCTCCTTTTTAAGCCAAGTTTCTTCACATGGAAACCTATTCACGACATTCCAACAACGCGGTTCGGATAAAGTAGATGCTCTTTACCAT